GGGTCAGCACCACCGATCTTGGAGGGGACTCGTCATCCTCCACACTGCCAGTCTACCTCATGAGTGGGTGATGGGGGAGACTGGGATCACGCGCTTAGTCTAGATTGTCGCGCTTCTTCCTCTTTTCCTTGGCCATATTAAATTTTGGCTTAGACTGGTTGTACTGGTCAGGCAAAAAAACCACCACAACTAAAACATTTCATAGGATAAATTACTATAATGAATTTTTTTTTACACTAAAAGACCTGAACAGAAACATTTCTCAATTATCAGGGTTTTTCTGAATACTTTTGAATGATAGAAAATCCAGTTCCCCAGCTTAAAACAACTATTAGTTTAAGATAATTGTGGTTAGGAAGAAGAGGCAAAAGAATTAAAAATTGGTCAGAACAGTCCTTTTAAATGATCGCAACAAAACTCTTTAGGTGCCACAAGTTCACTTAAAACTATAGTATGATTTTGCCATTTTACCATGATTCAACATGGGAAAATTGTTTTAAAATTAAAAAAAAAAAGTGGGAAAGGAAAATAGTAGTAGCTTAGCTTTCATTTATGTGTCCCTTTCAACTCAGGAAGTGTTCCCAGCCTCTTAGAACTTGTAATACAAGGCTTAATGAATGGTTTGAAAACCATCTGAGATGAAACTTTTCCTTACGCTATTGTGACAAAAATCTAAAGAGGTAGCCCATTCAGCGGTAGCTATAGGAACAAAAAAATAAAATAAAATAAAAGCTGTCTTTCTTTTCCTCTTTGGTTTGTTAAAATTATAGCTAAGAACATTTGGGTGTTGAGTCAAACACTAGGAGGAAAGGTCCTGCCCTTGTTTTGGAACAGGTAGGATCATCTTTCTTTCTTCTCTCTATTATTCAGTCTGCTAAAAGATCATTATGTTCCTATTTAAATTAGGCAGTCGCCTCCTGCTTTCTTGCTTTGGATGGGAGAAGGACTCACCCTTCATAACATTAGGAGCCTATTTTAGATTCCCATCTGCAGTTCGCCCAACAGGCACAACCCTGGTGCGAGTTACCCTTCGCTCCACAATATCCCAGGCTCGTCTTCCTCTTTGGCCTTTTTATCTGGGGATACTAAAACCCTGACTTCAGCAAATTAATGGTCAGGAGGAAAAAGCTCCAGAAAACGTGAGGCTTGCTGGGCTCTCACCCCTTTGAGACTGGGAACGTCATGCAAAGCAAATTCCTGTCTCGCCAGGCTATGGAGGGAGTGCAAGCAAGGACAAGACTCATTAGTCAAGTCAGTTGGCAGCGGCTGGTGAGAACTAACTCCGAGTCCCAACGCTGGGGGTTTCTCCACCTTCTCATTCCCAAGCAACCGTCTTTTTTAGTGACAACAACTCCCAACAGAAAAACAGCCTCTGTTCAGCCTCTGAAAGAAAACCAAGCCTAGTATCTCTGACTATGGTTAGCAAGGGAAGGGCTGTGTGTCCTTGTAGCTCCAAGGAAGATTAAAGCTTCGAGCCACAGTGGTTCCTAGACACCTGCACCGCACACGCTGCCTGGCCCTGGCCCAAAGTGACTTGATCAAGGCTGCACTGGGAATCGGTGACATTTGGGTGGCACCCAAATGGCACTCCCTAATTTCTCAGCTGGGACTCCAAGCATCAGACTATCCTTCTTTTCAAGTTATATTTGCAAATACACAGTGGTGGATGCATTCAATTCAGATCAAAAATTCACCACTTAGGTAGGCTCCATCTCATCTAATTTTAGCCACTTTAAAGTTAGATAAACGGTTAAACGAGGCTTCCTCTACTCAACAATGAGAGGAGAGATGCTCGTGTGGTGGGCTGCCCATCTCACCTATTTTAGTCTAACATTCAGTTGGTCATAGTTAGACAAGAGGGTTTCTGCTCCTAACATAGAAATGACACCATATGCCCCTTCTCAAAGGTGCTTATCATCTTCCCTGTGTCGATCTTTAGTATTCGCTGGGTTTTAGGTTGCAATTAGAATTTTGCCCTGCAAGAGTGGGGAGATTAATGGTGCCATGTGACCTATAATTCTTCATGTGCTGGAGACAGGAAGAAATTCACTGTGATAATAGTGTCTGTGAATCCTGTGGATGACAGGCAGGGTGTATTCGTCTGAGTAAATGCAGGCGTCTAATATGGTGATGTCTCCATTTGCGTTAATACTCCTGCCCCGAGCTCCCAGTAGAGCCAGGAGGAATCTAATTGATGCAGCCAGTAGAGGCTAGAGAGTGATACATCTCATGCTAAATTAGGCGTCTATGTTTAGTAGAATTAATCTCACCATGGCAATGTTGGTTTCTTTCTATGAAACGGACCCTCAGTGACTAGCTCAGGTGTAGAGCCCTGTATGGGAAACTTCTAAGCTGAGGCAAAGTCAGCTTAGCCAAACCCACCTCAATATGGCCAAGAGCTCTTACAATTCATCCTTTGCCCTTCAGGTCGTTTGGGGAATGTCAAATTTTGTTTTCCCTAGTGGCATTGAAGCAAAGGTTTCTGCAGCCCCCATCACAAGCCTGTTGAGCCCATGAATGAGAATGACTGAAAGAGAGATTTCTTGCAAGCTTTGTTAACAGTTGTTGCTTATGTAAAGAGCATCTTGGGCTCTAAAATACCATATAGGAGATGTGATACAAGAACATAAATAAAACAGAATAAACACCTTTGGATTTTCCTGGAATCTGAGTCCCACCATGCCCCAAATTGTCTAAAGAGAATCAAAAGACCTGGTTGTTCCTTTCTCCCCACATGGACATTTAGTCTGTGAAAAAGCACATCACCCATTGTGCCATTTAATTTCATTAAATGCTATAGGTAGAAAAATTCAGGAACAAAATATTTACTTACATGCAGTTTATTGAAGGCACAGTGAAAAGCTGGAAAGTTTGAGAAGTCAATGAAAGAAGCTCTGGTTATCTGAATACAAGATGTCAAACTCAGAAGTGTTATGCACCGATAACTTCGAGAAACTTTCCTTGGTATTTCTGGGGTGGGGGTGAGCGCTTCTAAAAATCAGCATGCTTTGAACTAGCCACCCCTAACATGCAGAAGCAAATGAAGGTACTATGTATTCATCTGTAAGCAAATTCCACAAAAAGCCTATGGCTGCAGTGTAAATAGCAGGCGCTTTGAAAATTGAAATTGCCTTGTTTAAAATTGGAGCTCAGATTTGCAGCTCAAGGTCTCTTCTTGGACAGGAAAAGAAGCATGGTTTTTGCAATGCCTTCTGAGAAAGTTAAATCATCACTCTCTTTTCTGAAATGCTTTGGGAGGTGCTATAAGAAAAAGAGGTGTCTTGTAAGGAAGAACATTGTTAATGAACCTGCTGGTTATAGGAAAAGCCAGAGAGAGAAGGCAGTGCAACAAGCAAACCCCTAAAGCTGCAATAATCTGGACAGTACAAACTCAAAGAACTAATATGGTATTGAGCACCTGTTGGAGAAGCTTGCTAGAGATGGATCTTTAGGTTTGGGTATTCTGCAAACGTAACTTGGTGGGGTATATGTGTTGCTAATGAAGGCTTCTGTGTGGGAATGGACTCTTCATAAGTGTTACTCTTAGTGGGCAGATAATTTATTCTGCGTCATTTCAGGTGTAGGAACCGTGTGTCTAAGCATTGCACTGTGATGTTCCTTGTCGCGCCACCTCCATGTCTGTTGGCCTATGGAACAACACATGGATCTCTGACGACCCCCAAATTCCCCACCACTCCATTGTTGCATCCCACAGCTTCGGGGCTATTAGCCACAACGACCGGCGAGCCACCCAGCTGCCTGATGACACAGCCTTGGTTTCCAAGGCTGACCATACCACCAGCTTGGCAAGCTCCAATTCTAGCATTCAAGCCCCCACTTCCCGTGCTTATAACGGTACGGGCTGGGTAGCCCCCACTTTGGGAGCTAAACCCTCCACTTTTGCAGTTGACCACTCCGGCTTGGCAAAACACCTCTGGGACACACTGCTTGGCCACAGAGCTAACGACTCTCCTTGGGTAGATCCCGGCGCTCCGGGAGCTGAATCCTCCATTCTGGGAGCTGGGTCGTCCAGACCGTCTCCCCAGGGAGCCGTAGCCACATGCAGCCCCGCTTCCAGCCAGCACCCCACAGTCTTCAGGGATATTGTAGCCACTGCTGACCACAGCTACAAGACAGCCCACAGGATTAGTTATTTGGAGAGAAAAGCTGGAACACTCTCATAGGCAAGTTGTTTCATGAATGACAGAACCAACCAAACCTGATTTCCTCTGGGTTTATCCAACATACCTGAGCCCCTGATCCTTCCACCTCCTCCCCCATGTCCCAACACATCCCCTCACAGAACCTCCCAATTCCCACATTGCTCATCTGGCAACATTTTCTCTCCGTAGTCCAATGCACATCTGTACATTGCCTGGTGAGCTGGCTATTGCCTCCAAAAGTAGAAAAGAGAATGAATTTAAACTTTCTCCCTCCACCCAAACGCCAATTTTCTTGAAACTTGGAGGTACTTGAGATGTTGGGGACAAAAACTTCACTGTCAAACTGGGTTGAAATGGAAAAGGGCATCAATGGCGGAGGGAGCCAGGACAGACAGATAATGCTATTTCATAAACTGCCTTTCCTAAAATGAGCCTAGAAACACTAATAGCTGGAGAATCCAACTGTAGATCTTCAGGTTACTTACACACACTCACTGGATTCCCCACACATATCCTGTTAGAGGAGAGAAGAGAAAGGCACGTTACCCTATTAACTAGTTGCACATCCAGAAAGTCAAAATTACTCATAACTGCCAGCCACATATCCAGCCCTCTTGTCTCTTAATCCCTTGTTGCAACATGTCTGACTATCCCTAGGACAGGAACTGTTTTTGCTGGCACAGGGGGTGGACTGCATGGCCTCCGGCCATCTTTCCAGCCCCAGTTTCTATGAGTCTGGGAGTATCCTGGAGCTGCTAAGTTCCCTTGGGTGGTGGAATCATTCGGGCCTGTAGCTCTGACATCCAGGGGAAAGGAAACAAGCTCTCTGTCACCCACCTGCTTTCTTCACCCTCCAGTAAAGTCTTATATGTTGCAATCTCAATATCCAGGGCCAACTTGACATTCAGCAGCTCCTGGTAATCCCGCAGCATGCAAGCCAGCTCATCCTTGGCCTTCTGGAGGGCATTCTGCAGCTCAATATGTTTCTCCCGGGCATCTTTCAGGGCACAGTCCCCGCACTGCTCAACATCACAAATGGAGGTTTGCAGAGAGGTGACCTGTCAGAGGAGAGGATAACAATGCAGATGTCTTCAGTGCCTTATTCCCTAATTCATGGGCATTCTGCCTTAGGATTAATCAGCTGTTCCAGTTGCAAACTGACAAAAAGCACTAACTTCCCTGGAGCAGTTTCTGGATTTGGGACTTAGCCTAGCACAGGTCTTTAGTCTACTAAGGGCTGATGCATTATCCTCACCCATATTTCAGCTGTCTTCTAAGATGTAGCCCCTTCTGCAAGCAGCACCTCTGGGTGTCACCTACCTGCTTCTTCACGGTCTCAAGTTCACACTGCAACTTCTGTATCATCCGAGTCAATTCTGAAATCTCACACTTGTTGCTTTGCAGATCATCACAATACTTGCCCCTTTTATCCTGAAGTTCCTGAAACTGGAATTGAGAGACAAGACAATCATCAGTTCAACCGCAGCCCATTAAGTAGCCTGGCTGAGACCTCTGTTGTTCCTTACTCACCCTGGTTTGGTAGAAAGCATCAACTTCTTCTTTGCTCTTCTGAGCTATTTCTTGGTACCAGCATTCAACATTCTTAATGATGCTTTCCATGTCCAGGTCTCGGTTGTTGTCCATTTTCACAATGACCGAGGTGTCGCATAGCTGGCGATCCACCTGAGCTCGTTCCTACATGTTGGGGAATGGCTTAGTCAGCTGTTAGCAATTCTCAGACTTTGTAGTGAAGGAAGGGCTGGAACAAAGAGCCACGCTGCTTAGCTGATGGATAGAACAAGTCAAGAAATATCCCTCAGGTTGGCTCAGCAGAAAATCCTACCTGCTGGATGAGTTACCACATGTCAGCTGCTGACCTACGTGCTGACCTGCAGCAATTCTGTCCACATCAAGGGCAAGGAATTTGAGTGACTTAACCTTTAGCATCCTGTCATCTTCAGCCGCTTGACTGGTGTTAATGACAGGATTAAGTTGGGAGTTTCTTTAGCTCTAATCAGACAACTGCAATCCAGAGTAACTACACAGACTCATCTCGTCCTCCAGAGGTAGAGTTAGGACACAGCCAGTTCCTATCTGGAGCTGTGTTAAGAAAGGGGGATTTCTCCACCTGTTCAACGTACTTGTATTAGTTTTATATCAATCTTGCAGTGTCATGTTTTCAAGTATTCAGGGCTCTTAGAGGTGACTGTCCAACAGGGATTTCAAGCTGTAGAAATGTGGGCCACCTAAAGGATGAGACAGCACGAGACTCGGGATGGACCAGAGGAACTCACCTCCTCAAACACACATTTCAACAACTCCAATTGCCTTCTTAACAGATCCACCTTCACTTCCAGCTCTCCCTTGTTCAAAAAGATACAGTCTGCATCCTGAAAGAGAAATGAGCTACATTCCAGATCAATCTCACTAAAAACATTGGAGAAACACATGGAAGACAGATGTGCTGCCAATACAACAGAAACCTGTTTCAACAAGATTTCAAGAGCAGAAAGGTGTGAGAGGTTGAGTCCAGTATTGTTCAGATGAGTTCTCATTTTCTGATGTCAAGGTATAAAGGATCTGAAGAGGCTATCAGAAGGTAACCAGTTTCTCAGACACCAAGTATTCCAGTGTAACCTCTCCCACTGCATCCACCAGGCCCCTTTCACAAATGGACCCTTGCATGAAAATTAGAGAATGTGTTTGGGGGAACAAAACTACTGCTGCAATGCTAATGCTGTTAGCTTGGAGGACATATTGTTTTTTCCTTACACTCCCATCTGCCTCTTTTTCTGACTCTATGCTTCTTTACAGGCTTTCTGCTTTCCACTCACTATAACACAATTTCTCAGGCATCTTCCAATAACATACATTTTTAGCCAGGCCTCACGGCAAATAAACTCATGATTGGTGTAATCATCCATCTATTTTGAGCTTCTCACCTTTTTGAGTGCCACAAACTCATTCTCTGCAGTTGTACGCCTGTTGATTTCTTCTTCATATCTGTTGGAGAAGGAGCAAGAAAGGGCTGAACCAAGCATTACCATCAAACACACAGCCACTATTCATCTGGAAAAACAACAACCTTTGCTTGCTCAGAGACTGCCATCAGGCATTGTAAGACCAGTGTCTGGAGACCAGACATCAGACCATTCAGAGATCAGAAACTTGTTCATGAGCAACAACATTAACAATGCAAAGAGTTCCCCAGTGAGACAGAAGAATCTGGCATCCCCAAAGGGCATTCCCTGCATGTCTGGGAGAAGTTCCCTGAGACAAAATATAGAAGTGAAATGACATAGGAAACCTTAAGGCCCTTACTTGCACTTGAACTCCTCCACCAGCTGGCTTGTGGCACACTCCTCACTGCCTAGTTTTTGCTTTTCGCATAACAAGCAGTCCAGGCGCTTCCGTAGGTCGCAGATGTAATTCTCAAAGTACAGTTCAAGGTTTTTCCCTTTCTTTGGTAGAACATATTGCTGCAAGAAGCCCCATTTGGTCTCCAGCACTTTGTTCTGCTGCTCCAGGAATCGGACCTGCAAGCCCAAAAGTAGCAGTTCTTCAAATAAGAAATGAAAGCAATAACTTGACACCTGATTTAAATGTCTGCTCTCACTTTGGGTCCAGATAGAGTGCATCTTCCTGCAAGTGTAAGAATAGGTTTTTTGGAAAATGCCATAATGATCACAAAATTATCTGCCGTTATTTTAAATCCAGAGGTTAGATGCCTAAATCTGAGCTAACTCCCTTTCTCACCAATGAAACGAAATAAAGCTCCTCCAAAAGATGTGTTCCAGGATGTGACTGAGTCCCCAGCTAGAGGGACCTGTTTGTCTCTTTTCTCCACAAAGGGATCGTAAGGTGATGACTCAGCTGTCTAATGTTTAGATAGCTGAATTAAGGTTAATCTCCTCCATCTTTAGAAACGTTTTTGGAACAGTTGCTGTATTTAATGATGGGAAAAGAAAATCTAATATAGGACAGAAAAATGAGCTTGTCAGAACTGTAACTTTTAGCTGAGCTAGAACAAGGCTGCAGAGAGAACTCCAACCTTAAATGGTTTAATGGTCCAGAGAGCAATAACTGCAAGAAAGTTCGGTGCTGCTATGGCCAGAATATAGGCACCAGCAAGTACTAACTGAGTTTCTCCACTACTGAAGATCACAGCCTGAAAAAATATAGCTCTATGGGAATCCAGATCTTTGCATGGTTCTAGCTCAGCGATGCAAGGCATGAGCTGGACTACTTTTTTTTCTTTTTTTCTTTTTTCTTTTTTCTTTTTTTCTCAAAGAAGCCTAAGTAGGGAGCAGATTGTACTCACCTTATCGATGAAGGAAGCAAACTGGGTGTTGAGGCTCTTTATCTGTTCCTTCTCCTGACAGCGTATTTCATGTTCCAGCGGGTCGACCCCAACACAGAGGGGCTTTAGGAGCCTTTCGTCAATGCAGATACCTTGGATACCATCAGCCTTGCGATCTGGGTAACCTCGCACGATACTATATCCCCTAGGGCCACAAAGGCCAACCTTTCCTCCAACACTACCATAGCCTACACCTCCATAGCCGAACTCCCCGTAACATCCAGTACCACAGACCCCATTCACATAGGAAATTCTTCTGTTTCCACCTAGGTTACAGACGCTCCTGCTGCTATAGGCACCAGCTCCACATCGGACAGGTTGGCAGGCAGAGGCCGCGTAGCTTCGACCACAAATCTCAGAAGCTGAACTGAAGCCTCTTCGTCCGAGGACGGAGCTCACTGTAGGTGCCTGTCTGCTCATTGTGGCTTATTTGAAGGTGGAATATGAAAGTTTAGGGGAAATTCTTCTGCAGGAGAGGAGCAGCAATCCCGCTGAAGTGACACAGTTGATGCTACCCCTTATATACATTTAGGCAGCTGGCCTTGATAGGATCAGGACATTAATTTAAAGCACGTAAGGGTTTGGTTTGCCTGGCAGCAATAAATGCTCCTCAAAATGCAAAACAGCCCAGCAAATACTAACTACTGAGGAAATAAAAAGGAATCTAAAAGTGCTCTGTTTGCAAGTTGGCTTAGAATATATTACGGTTTGAAGTGTTCCCCTAACTTACACTAATTATAGTTTAGCAAACATTTTTGAAGAAACTCTTTGTGATTTGTTTGCAGTGTGCCGTTTGGGGTTTTGCGTCTCATGGAGTTTTTTTGTGTGTGATGGCATATTTTGCAGACTTGCATTTTGTGGGGGTAATTTCATAATCTCTCCTTTTTTCTCTCACCAGGCTCGTTTTGGGTGCAGAAATGTAACCAAAAAAAAAAAAAAATGGAAAAACACCATGGAAGCTGTGCTCTGACAGATGGAGCTCTTGTGTGCTTGAGACACCAGTGAATTTACTGAGTTATGAGTGTGGACTCACAGGCAAGGACTCAAAATGGGCTCCCCTACCTCCAAAAACACTCCCACGTGGCATTTCACATTGGCCTTTTCTTATCACCAAGAAACTGAGGCACATTTCAGCTTGCTGTTGTTGCTTGAATAATATTACAAATTTTTAACCTGAATTCTTTGGCCCTCGCTATATTGGCGCTTCTATCCAGCTGGATGTCACAGAACTTCTTGCTCTATCGTTTGGTAATCTCTACAGATTTAAAAAATTTGGAGCAGCAGCACATTTCAGGCTAGTGAAATTCATCTCATTCAACAAACAACAGCTAAAAGTTGGGCAGCTTTGCCAAACATGTCCTTGACAGTCAATGGAAAGGCACCTTCAAGGAAGAGACAACCACCTTTGGGTCTGAGTCTAGGAGAACTGGGATGGTTCATTCTCCATAGGTGGTGATCTTTCTCCATCAACAGAGGAAGTCTCAATGAGTACGTTAGACCAAGCATCTGAGATGGTGACTCACTTTGGTAAGATGAATCTCTCTCCTAATCACCAGCCCAAAGACGTGAGACACTGAACCTGCCAATTTTCTCGGGCCTTTCTGGGAGCATTCTCCAAACTGACAGCTGGAGATTGAAAACAATAGGGCTCTTTCAGCTCTTTGAGAGCAAAGTGCTCATGAGAAAAAGAGACATTATAGTGCACACTCAACTAAATGCCCTCAGCCCTAACTGACTGGAGGGGGACTATACTCAGAGAAGTCTGCATATGATACATATTACGTGACAGTATCTGGAGACAACAGTAACCATGTTCACTCATCTTTGTTAACCCCCCTCTAAGAGCAGTTTCCAAGAGCGAGGATCAGGCAGTGCAAATCACAAAAATAATGCTAAACTTAGCAGGCCATCGGACGTGACTACCACACTGAGATGCACCAGGATATTAATTGAACATGTAAGTGCAACTTATGTGAGTTGGAGGGGCTGGTGGTAGAAGTTAATTGTGTCAACTGATGCTCTTGCCCTATACAGGTGGAATAATTCAATATATTTGCAGCATGAGTTTCAGATTACACCTTTGTTTATGATATTTTAGGCTCACAGTTCATACTGGGTTGCCAGTACAATAGGCAATATCACTTAAAAGATACCTTGGCAAATATTAGAGAGTTCAAGCTAAAGCTTGCATGGTCATAAGTTCCCGGAGCCTTTAAGTTCTGGATAAAGATTATCAAAAGTGAAATGCATGTTTGACTCCAAAGAACAGTACAAAAGGCAACTGTTTGAGCTCTTTCACTTAGCAAGAAGTGATACATGCTCTACGTCGGAAAATTGTGCCTTGAATCAAAAGTCAGACTGAAAGCTAGTGAGCTATTGCTCCCTGTCTGCACCCCATTATGCTTGTACGCTGTGTGGGAGACTCTTGGAACGTATCATAGACTACAATTAATAGTCTGTGAACCAACTACACATCAGCAGTCCCAGTTCTAAAACATCTCACCAGAGCCACAGGCTTCTTGAAAGGTAAGAGATTTTTGCAGTAAGCTTTCCAGTATTGAGTAACATTTCTGTTAGCCAAACCCTTGTTGTTGCTAGTGTGAAGGCAGCTATACAGAAGATTCATGTAATGTCTTTCAGGTCTTTCCAAGGGACACTGAGTGTTTTGTTGTTCTAAGTAGATGTTAGTACATGAGATCTCAGGAACCAACAGGATTATTTTGAGTGTGGACATGTTAAATGGGAGAGTACTTTGAAGCAAAAATTACATCTTTTTGACTCAAAAAAAGGTTCATCATCTTTCATCTTTTGGGGGGAAAAACTGAGGAATAAATGAAGGAAAATATTTTGATGAGGGGTGAGCGAATCATTTCTGTTGACTTGCAATTTGTCCCTTTGTCAGCCTTCTTCTCCTTGAATATGTTGCTGAAAATGGAATTTGTTATGAAAACATGTGAAGTTCACTAATTTGTTTGTTGCCTCTGGAGATGAATCTGAACTAACTCTTAAAATGTATTTTATTTGATAGTCTCAAAGAGCCGTGCTCTGACTCTGTAATTAGACACAGACATAGAAAACTCATTGCGTTCAGATAGGACAATAGCAATAACCTATCCCTGCTAACAGCATTTGACAGATATAAGATTGGGTGCACACAGTTTCATGGACTATATTGACGCTTGTCTGTGTCGTTCATGAGGTGTTAAAGAACTGATCTTATTAGCGCATCCTCATCCTCTTGTATTCTAAAGCCAAGGTTGTACAAGGGGATTCAATATAGTAATGTATTTTTTTTTTCTCTCTTTAGCTTACATCTGTTATTTGTTAGAAGCAGAGATAGGGATTTTCAAAGGATGTTCCTCATAAAATTCATCAAACATTGGACCTGGATTCACCTCCCTCCCAACTTCAGCCATCAAACTAGCCAGGTATTCTAATTTCATCTTTGAGGCTCCCTCTGTGGCTAATGAAAAGAGATAGGAATCTCCAGACGGTGATTCATCACATCCTAAAATAGGCAGCTAAGACAGGTGGGAGGAATCAACCTCTGGAGGTACTCACTTCTCTCTTTATTGACTACCAGAGGAAGTCTAGACAACCAGACAACTAGACCAGGCGCCCAAATTCTGGATGGTTAAAGTGAGGTGAAACTAGTCCCACCCTTTGGGTGCCAAATTTCTTTAGCACCTTTGAAGTCTTAATGAGAGTACGCACATCACATGTTCTCTAGATTTCCTCAGTTCCTGAGGTATGCATAGCATATCTCCGTGCAGCAATTAGTACCTGTAAATCTGAGGCTTGCAACAAAGCAAAGGATTGTTTTGATCTTTTTCATGGTGATGTCTTCCTCCCACAGACTTGCACAGTGGAAATAAATGTGGGAAATATGGGAATCTAGGGCCTTGAAAGGGATAACATCACACTGTCTGTTAAAGAAATCAGAGAAGGGAAGAAAAAAAAAAAAGGTTACTCTTGAAATGTTGCAGCTGGTACTAGGTTACGGCAATTTCCCTATAAATCTGCACTAGCTCTCAACCCTTCTTGTTGGAGTTATATTCTTGGGCAGCAAAGATTTGCTGAGCGCGAGAGAGAGAAGGGATTGTGCACAGAAGTTGGGTCAGATGCTTCTAGGAATCATATTCAACTGGCAGGGACATGCTCTTCCTTTTGTTATGT